TTGTGTGGATGCGTTTTTTTTTTTTTTTTTTTTTTCCCTCTGTTTCGTGCGTGCGCGTTAAGCATCGTCGTCTTTCCGTACCGGCTCATCGTATTAAAACGGCAGTGCTGCCACGTGCAGTATCTGTACAGTTGAAACGGCTCGAGCACGCATAGTTTTGGCAGGTGTGACGTCAGAAGCAGTCAAAACAAGAGGCTTAATTTTTTTAACCTAATATTACTTGTACTTATATTTTCCAAAAACACACGTTATTGCTTATCAAATTTTATTATAGTATACTCTCCCAAGGAAAAAATAGTGACACTAGTCAACAGGTAAGAGAACGAAGTGATCTTATATTAAAAACAAATTTTTTGTATAGACAGGTATCGATGAGAACTGTTTTCAGTTTGTGGACAATAAAATGTTACATTATTTGTTTGCCAAAAATAAGTAAATTGATAACAAAAACTTTTTTCAAGTAATCAAACACCAAAACCAAGAACTCTTAAATACCTGCCTCTGTAAAAAATTTTTTTTATGCAATATAACTCACTTTCTTCTCCGACCTGGTGTATAGTTTCACTCATTTTAATTGCTTTCAAAACAATTATTACATTGTTCTATGTTCCATGAAATAAATTTATTTCGACAGTTTTATTATTTTCATAATAAACTACAACAAAATTGGATAAGTGAACATGTGTATTGTACAGGTATAAGTAGCATTAGATTGAACAATAATTGAGCCTTATATTTTAAATGTCTCTGATACCTGCCAAAATTGCATGTGTATGGACAATGAATGTGGCAGTATTGCGGTTTTTTTAAAGTAGTGTTCATAGTTAAAATGGTAAGATTTTTTTTCTCTGCTTATATGAACCATTGAGCATCCTCCTGCTACCAAGGGGCCCTCAAATTGTCCTCCCAATCCTCCCTTGTGATTCCTTCTCCTACTTCAGGAAGCAGCACTGCGACCCCGAGCCATTTACAAAAGGCCGCGGGTCTCTTGGTGCTGCTCACCAGCCCCAGCCTCAGCTCCACATTGCTAAAATCGCCGATCGCGAAGCCTGAACCGACATCTGATTTTTATGTGTGAACACTGCTGGCTGTATGACAAAGGCAGCAGTGTACACATGCGGCTAAACATCAACAAAACACCACTGGCACGCTGACTGCTCCGAAATCACAGCACAGCTCTCTTTCTCTTCGACTCCGATTTTGCTCGCTCTTAACGCGGGCCCACCAAAATCAAATCGCTCGTGCTCGTCCAGACCAAGACGATGACGATCCGATCCTCAGTACCATCTTCTTCACGCTTATTTAGCTCCGCGCCCTCTGGAGCTGCTTGCTCCTCCGCTGACTCTCTCGGCGCACTTCGTCTTTCTTGTGTATTACACCAACCTACTGTAACCTTAGTGTGTGCGTGCGCCCACACGAACATGCGCAGGTACTACAGTAACACGAGAGGCGCGCTCTCTTTCTCTCTCTCTCTCTCTCTCGGACGACGTGCACTGCATACAGATGTAGTTAGTACAACGTAGACGCCCGTGCCAACAGCAGCAACAGCTACTTAAATTCTCGGAGTGTTTATTTAGCTAGCCAATATACTGGACGCTAGTGCTTCAAAAATCGTAACGGGCGTTTTTTTCTTTTCCCCCAGGCTCGTGCCGTATAGATGACGTTTACGTGCAGGACGCGAGGTCACAGTCGCGCCTCCTCTCTGATGCTGCCGAGGCGGCCTGCAGCTGCTTGTTGCAGCAGCGACGATATGTGCGCCTAGCCCGCAGTGTGGTGTGTGGTGTCTATCGCGGAGAGTCTCACACGTCGACGTGTAGCCACTGCAAGTGCATCATACCCGGAACGAAAAACCAAGCAGTTGGGTCGTACTCCCGTGCCGGCTCGTTCGATTGTCTTTGGCTCGGCCGTTTGCTTCGGCTACAGTTTCTGTTGCTGCTGCTTCTTCTTCGTCTTCTGCTGTTCGTGCGTTCTCTTTATGAATCATTGGGCATCTTCCTACTACCACGGGGCCCTCGAATTGTCCTCCACTAACTCGTTCTTGTCGGTATTCTACTCCAGGGAGCAGCACCGCGACCCCGTGCCGTTTACGAGAGGCTACGGGTCTCCTGGTGTTGCCCGCTGGCCCAGCCTCAGCTCCGCACTGCTGAGATCACGAGCTGCCTGTCGTAGTGGCGCGGAGCCTGGACCGAGCACGACATCAGACTTTTGTGTGGACGCACGACACGCCGTGCTGCCGCTGCTGGCTGCACGACAAAGACAGCAGTATACACACGCGGCTCCCCCCTATGCCCCAACACCAACAAAACACAACTGGCACGCCAGCAGCAGACGTCGTCGACGTCGCCGTCGTCGTCGTCGTCGCTGTTGCCGTTGCCCGGAAGCAACGGCAGTGCCCAACTGTATATTGACTTAAAGACCCCACTCTCTAAAAAGACTCAAAGTGTCAGTGTGTTGTTTAACTATTTTTTTTACTCGTCGAATTAGATGAAGCTGCGGCCGACACGGTGAGGCTGAGAAAGAGACGCAGATTAAAGTTGGTCGGTGCTTCGTCGAGGAGTAGCGTCTGACCATCGTGTTCACAACGACGAACACCATCGTCATCAGCAGGATGGCCGACCATCTAGTTGACGGGCCGCCTAATAAACGGCCCAAACTCAGTGATCCCTTTCAGGGTTCATCGGATTCCTCGAGTGAGTACCCAGTTTCTTTATTATCAACAATTGTTTTATTTTTCTTTATTTTATTTTTTGCCAATGGATTTTGTGAGATTGTGTTGTATTTATTCATTTGTTTGTTTTTTTTTTCTCTTTTTTTTTTTTTTTTTTTTTTTTNTTTTTTTTTTTTTTTTTTTTTTTTTTTTTTTTTTTTTTTTTTTTTCCCACGTTTTTCGAGACAGGCAGGCAACTTTTCGAAATCAGTGACAGTGTCAATTCGTTCCTTGATTCTGTTGATAAATAGTCGAAAAATCAGATGTTAGCAAACAAGAGTGACGCAACGCCGAGTGTCACGTTTTGTGCGAGTCTGTTTACTTTACTATAAGTATCTGCTCGGATGATGGAATTCAGAGTTGACGATTTAATGGTGAACATGTACAATTGTGCATTAACAAACATCATTTGTTGCCGAACTCGCTCTGTTACGCTGCTCCGAAATATACTGCATCCTTTTCTCCCATTTTTCTCGTTTGTTTACATTGCCTTTGAGTTTTCATTTTTTTTCTTTGCCAATCTTGTATGACTGCAAGCACATGGGCCGCTTGTGTACTTGTCTCTCATTCTCTACATTATGCTCTTTCTCCTTGTCAATGGTACAAAACTTTGCTTATACTTGTTTGTTCGAAACTTTGATTTTTCAATGATTCATCTTTGAATTTGTTGTATGAAAAGTGTAACGTAACAAACAGTTTGTATGATTCAGTGGATTTTATGAATTACAAAATTTTCAGTAAACGATAAAAACGAGAATTTTGATAAAGATTACCAAATATTCAGCGATGAATTACAAACCATGTTGAAGGATTTGTTTTTCGTAGTACTTTTTTTTCATCAGTGAGTAAATTTTTAATTTTGAAATTTTTTAGTTAGCAAGTAAATTAATGATTTTGTTGAAAGTTTTTCATCAAGTCTCCTGTTTAGTACAAAAGAAGGATTTCAAAAAATGTCATTTTCTCCACATCTTTGTACTAAAATCAACTCATCAGTTGATTCGTTTCTTCTTTTTGGTATTTTTCATTGATGTTTCTAAAGTCAATAAATACCAAAATTCACAGAAAATGATGTGATATTGGAATGTGAACAGGTGGAAAATGACAACAAACTGTCAATGATGCCTCGACAGGTGCACATCGGTGTTACAGTGTAGTCGTCTCTCCATCCAAAATACATGAAAGCTTTCTCCAAACATCTCGTTTATCAAATCTTCCCAATCGTATGACCGAGTGAGTCGCTTATCCATTGAAAATATAAATCACAACGAGTTTTTCTATCAACTTACCCTACTCGAACGAAAATTTTAACCAAGTTTCAAGCATAGATCTGACAATTGAGATGAATAGCGTTTGTATTCTTGTATTCCACGATCCCCGCGTAAGCGGTAAAAAACTCGCAAGTAGGTGTGTACACACCCAGCAACCATTTCGGCACCCGCGAAGCTTTATCGAGGGAACATAGCACCGCGAACGGTGGTAAGTGCACCTATATATGTAAAACACCTATATATACGTGATACACAGTGCGGCGTGGAGTCCGCGCCGCTGTGAGTTCAACATACCAAGCAGCTTCCATCCATATAAAAGCGCGTTCGGCTAGTAGGTATATACATTATATACGTGTGTACCTATGTAAAGTGTGTAATATAACAACTTTACTACACTACATCGCCGGACAGGCGCGTCTGACCTATTTTCTCATCCCCATAGCGCTCCTTTTAGCTGCCGCGTTGTTCTTCATTCTATTACTTCTGGGTATACTATACATGAAATACTGTGCTCCGAAATCCAAAAAAAAAAAAATTAAAGTTAAAGCTCGCGAGTACCCATCAAGCCCGAGACGGGGTTGAAAAGAACAGGGGCAATAGCGTACATTTACCTAATACAGAGAAGTCGAGCGATAGAGAAAGGAGGAACACGAAAATAACGCGGAGGTGCGAAAGGAAGGAAAGACGGCTGATGGCTGGCTGCTGTGGCGTTGGTGTCGGGGCGAGCGAACTCTGACATGTTGTGCAGTGTATGTATATGTGTGTTGGCCGCGGCTCTGTTGTGCTCTCTCTTTCTCTCTGCGCCACTCACTTATTTCACTCTGCATTTTGCTTTGCGCGGTGTGTAGGGACTCTCTCGGGGTGACTCTGGAGTATCGCGGTTCGCGGTGTGTGCCGAGGCGCGTCTTGTTCTTTTTCTCTCCTTCATCCTTGTCATCTTGGTATATATTTTATAGTGGCTCCAAGTCATTTGCTGCAGCTGTTTGGATGTTTAGGGTTGTGACTTGTTCAATTTTTTCTTCATCGATTCATCACCGAGAGATGAACCAGAGGGTTTTCGAACTTGGGATACAGCTTGTACTTATTGTGGAGGTTCATGATACGTTTTTCTAAAAATCTGGGACTTTAATCTCTTCTCTGTTGCCTCTTACCCTGCAGTAACTGCATTACGTCTGTCCTGTCAAAAACTAAAGCGTTATTTAGTACTTTCTTACTTTGAAAGTTTGTTTTCACTTGTCTCTATTTAAAAAATGTTAAATGAATTAGTTTTTACTTACCTATCAGACCACACAACGAAATCCCAACTATACACTTACTACAACATCCAAGAATTCTCTGTACTTCGTTTTTGTTGAACAGATTTTTAATACATGAGCAATTTCCTAGCTTTTGCTAATTATTATTATTATTGATAATTGTAACATTTACATGATTGCCAATCTAGTGCACGCTGTTACGCATGAGCACACTTTGACATTTGGTACAATTTTGATCTAGAGAGATGCAGTAAACATTTTGAGTAAAGCTCGCATGCAGTATGTGCACTAACCATGTATAAACAACTTTTTTTCTCCCTTAGTTTGTTCCTCCTATGTCTACTGTAAATGATAAAAATGTAATTAGTTATTACACAAAGTCTCCTTCATCCTTAATATGTAAAAAAAAATCTCGTCTGTCTTCTTCTGTGGTATAATGAATTATTGTACGAGTGTACAGAAAACAAATAATTAATCCGTCAATCGATGACAACTGGCAATTCTAATATCTTAATAATCAAAACTGTAACTAAGTCACAGAAACTTAAAAAAATTTTGTTGTACTACAAATTGTCGATTGACGGAATGGTGCTGGTGTAATTTAGTTGATATGCGTCAGGGTGATTCTCATTCATCTCATTGCAGAATTCGTAAAATTTTGATGAATCTAGAAATTTTTAATTTTTTAATGATTCATATCATACTTATAGTAGTCAAAATTAGAGAAAGTAAGAATCACACTGAACGGCATATTACAAAATGTACATTAAAATGGTAAACGGATGAGAAAAAAAAAAACCATAAACTTGTAAATATTAAAAAACACAAAATCTAATGCTTGAGCTAAAAAAGTAAACTCTCAGTTTAATAGTTTCTGCGACTTAGTTAAGGTGTACTTCAGAAAAAAAAAAAAAAAAAAAAAAAAATATTTACAATTATTACAAACAAAAATCAAAGATGCACAGTCTAAAATGATATAAACTGTGATGCATATGTAGTGCGTATGGCGCCTCTAATGGTGCACCATGCTTATACAAACTACGGGGGAGGTGGCAGTGGTAATATACAACAAATGCAACTACACCACCACCATCATTATCATCTACAACAACTTCAGATGCAGCCAATTTGGAACCACAATCGTGCCACGCGCAAAAGAAGTAAATATTAAAACAAAACAACAACAAAACTTTCAGCAAAATTGTTGATTTTAATAATCAATCGCGAAAAACGTGTGTCTAAACCTAAATCTCATATTATATCAAAGTTTTCATGACTTCTAGGGCTCTCATCCGGTATAAATTTTCATTGTTCAGTGTTGGAAAACGAAAAAAAAAAAAAAATTAAAACTGATCTTTCTAATTCAAAAAATGACGTTTCAAAAAATTTACCACCACTGATCATAAAGTTTCTTAATCGAAATAAATCATAAATTTGTTTGAGCACTAAAAAAAATTTTTTTTTCGTTTTACTTCCCTTCATTCATACATCCCATTAATTTTCAAATCATCAATTTCATAAACTGTATCAAAGTTCATTCAGAAAAAATTAGTTATTTGTCTCATGATAACAGTACAGCAGCAACGGGTCTGCTTCTTTGTCTTACTTTAATCGACACTAAATATTTTGTCCTTTAACTGTATACTTTTTTTTTTACTGTAGTATAGGGCAGGCAAGGCGATTGACCAATGTGGCAAAGAAAATGGCTTTGATATTTTAACATTGAGACATGCGGCAGACACGCATAGAGACATTATTGTGTATTGTAAAGAGAGAGAAAATCTACGATAATCTCGAAGGAGAGGTAGTTAGCTAAATTCATATAGGCAAGTAAAAAAAAAAAAAAAGTTAGTGTTTAATATAAGTATTTATGTATGCTGGTATTTTATGTTTCACTGTTACCTTCTTGATGCTAAATAATAAGTTGATCGAGTAACAGACAATCTATCAAGTTTTGACCCAATACTGAAACAACTCCAAAAAAAAAAAAAAAAAAACCCAAGTTTTTGTCGTGTGAAAAGTTCGCCAACGTTAACCAACTGTATGTAATAAATGTCAAATTGTGTGCACGATGAACGATAAATTCACGTGAAGCTGTCGTATCACGTGAAAAAACCACAGATAAGAGAAACACGAAATATTTGAAACGATTCATTAAAATCAAATAACAAATACTGGTATGATTTTAATATTAATTTAAAAGAGAGAAAAAAAATCTAGTTACTCAAAGATGTGACCCTGGCGCAGGGTTGTAATAAAAAAAAGGTGATGGTAATAAAGTGCAACATAATAATAATAACCGACGTAACTTGTTTTATCTAATTTAACTTGTATTTTATTTAAATGTAACAATACTACAATATAAATGTTATTAAAAAGTAAAAATAAACCATATTCTTTTAGCTTGCAAATTATAGAAAGTCCTGATAAGATATCAACTTGTACATTTTATTGTATGTCTCTAAGCATGTGACTATATTACAAGTTTGTCATTAGTAGCTTTTGCAGCTTTTGTAGTTTTGTAGCACGTGTTTATTGTGAACTGATTTTTTTTTTCTTTTGATTTTTCCGCTGTAGCATACAGTTTTGCTAATGCGGTGTATGTCTCATGTCTTATATTTTTCCTATATTAAGTGTTTAATTTTTAATTATTTTCGTGTTTATTTTATTTTATTTTTTATTTTTTTTATTTTTTTCACTTGATACACTCGTTTGTTTATACTCATACGAGATGTTTGCATATAATTTTTTGGACATCATGTAATCTATATACATATGTGTAAGTTACCCCAATTTTTTTCTTGTCTACAAATATGGTCAGTCGTACGACGTAAAAATAACGAAAATATTGTAAATATTAGTTATGGTGATGGTATTAACTTTGTCTCCATGCAATATGTATACATAGACTAATCATGCTATACTTATTTTTACGGTATTTACCACGGTTTTTTTTTTTTTCATTTTGCACAAATAAACCGCCCTTTTCTTATCCGCACAGCCTTTATTTAATCATTAATGATGATAACAAAAAACAATAATCAAAATTAACGTAACTGTTCGATATAATTAAGCTTCAATTTAGATGACAATTCAGAACTCTTATTAATTTTTTTATTTTATTTTTTTTCTGTCCTACCTTCATTGCATATTTCACTTAATTGATCTGTTCACAATTTTAGTGTATCATATACATTCAACATTGTAAAGCTCCATTGCACAAAAATAGAAAGAAAAAAAAAAAAAAAAACAACAACTATCGTTTTAACACATTCACACCACATATTCCCTTCATAAAAAGAGATTAACAAAAAACGAAATGTTAACAATCCATGAAAAAAAAAAGAAAAAAAAAAGATCAACTAACGAAGACCTTTTCTTCTCTTTCAATTTCACAGGTTACATGACGAACACAGACATGTTCGACCTTGAAGACAATCTGCCAGACGATCTGCTGTCGACGAGCTCCTGGGGTTCTGCGCCTGAAAGCACAAAACCCCCAGCCACGGGTCCTGGACCTGGGCAGCAAAACAGCGCCCTCGATCCAGATCTGCGCCACGTTCAACAGCAACAGCTATCGCACCACCTTCTCCAACAGCAGCAACAGGGCAACAAGGGCCTCGTGACGAATTCGCTCGTGATGGCTAGTAACGCCCTTGGTAGCAAGTCGCCCAGCCTACAGTCGCCGCCAAACGTTTCGGTCTCGAAAAACGTCGTCGACCAGCAAATGGTCGTCTCTTTGGGCCTGTCGGGCAGTATAGCCAGCTCGTTGGCGGGTGGTCAGCCGCAGGCAATGTCGATGACCGGCCCAGGAGCGCCTCCAGGTGCAATGGGCATGCAACAGCAGACCCAGTCAAATCAGCCGGTCGTCCAGCAGTCGAACCAACCAAACCAACAGTCAGGTCCGCAGTCTGGTCCCCAACCGGGCCAACAGCCGGGTCAGCAAGGTCCCCAGCCGGGTGGCATGGCGATGCAGGGTCCCCCGGGCATGAACTCCGGCTTGGTCATGACGAGCGGGACAACAGCACCCAGCAGTAGTAGTAACAATAACAGCAGTAGCAGCATGAGTGGCATGGCCGGGGGTGGTCTCATCGTGGCCAACAGCCTGAACAAGCAGCCTTTGAACGCCGTGACGATGATGGGTGGCCCCGGGGGTATGCACCACGTGGGCCCTACCCAGCACGTGGGAGTTGCCCAGATGCAGAATGGCCCGGTCGGTGGTGGTATGATGAATGTCAGGACCGTGACGATGCAGCAGCAGGCGGCTCACATGGTCAGCGGTCCAGCACGCGGGCAGAGTCCCCACCAGCAGGTCCATCAGGGTGGCATACTAACCGGGCCCGGTGGACCTAGGATGCAGGTGCTCCCAAACATGTCCAATATGACCAACATGGGACAGATGGCTGCCGCCGCCAGTCCTTACGGTTACGGTAAGTCGACGCTATACCTATAATACACCTTATCGTGCACTTTGCCCAAAGCGCACCTGTTTCCTTCAAGGCTTCATTGTCAAATGCAACGAATGTCCAATCTAACGGTGCGCCAAATCAATTTGGAAGGGTAATTAGCCCGTCGCTTTGATTACTTTCTCGCGATGGGTCAGTCACCTTGACCACATGGCTATAAAAAATATCTTTTGATCTCCAATATTAGAGAGTTTTTTTTTCGTGATTGTAAGAGCACCTTTTGTCTACAATAGGGTCTCCAGGTAGTGGCCCAGCAGGCCCAGTTGCGGGCAATCCAGTTGCAGTCGTAACGCCTCAACAGCGTAACGCAGTAGCCGCGGGGATGACCGCGATGCAAGTAGGCCGCTTCGGTGGTGCGCCAGGAGCAGCTGGCCCAGCGGGCGCTGGTGCCTCAGGCCCACTTGGAGCAGCGGGTCCAGGAGGAGCCGGGTTGCCTGGTGGCGTGCCCGTTGGCCAGGAAGGTGGCATGGCACAGCAAGCCCAACCACCCGCCCCGAGCCCAGCTCAGCCGCAGAGTGGGGCGCCCAGTGGTGGTCAGCCCGGGCCTCAACAGGCTACGCAAGCCCAAGTACCGGGTAGCCAGCAACAACGTAAGCCACAGAGTCCTGACATTCATAAAATTACTGCAACCTTGTATTAATTGTTGGGTATCGTGTGTTCTTCCAGGTGCCAGACCAGTTATCGCGGATCCAGAAAAACGAAAGCTCATTCAGCAGCAGCTTCTTTTGTTTTTGCATGCGCACAGTTGCCAGCGCCGGGAGAATCAAGCACCCAACAACGGGGAACAGTGGCAGTGCAACCTGCCACACTGTAAGACGATGAAAAATGTTCTAAACCATTTGTCCCAATGCACGGCTGGCCGGAGTTGCAACGTTCCCCATTGTACGTCGTCCCGACAAATAATCGGTCACTGGAAGAACTGCACGAAAACCGATTGTCCGGTCTGTTATCCGCTAAAACAGGCCGAAAAAAATTGGCAGAACAACGCGGGCGCTGCACAAGCGAACAATCAACAGAATCCCGGCTTAGCGGATACGCGGAGGGCCTACGACGCTCTAGGCATAAACGTGCCCGCGACGACGCAGCCCGGCCTCCTGCAGCCCCAGCAGGGCGTCAACAGACAAGCACGGATGGCGAATCCAGTGCTTCAGGCGCAACCGGGCGCGATGAGCAACGTTAGGTTGCCCCAGCGCGATGTTCAAGGTGGTCCCGATCAGTCATCGGTCGTGGGTGCCGGTCCACACCAAGTCGTAGCACCTAACGTCTCCCTGCCTCTGAGCTCGGATCCGTCCGCTGTGTCAGGTGCCGCTGCGGCAGCCGCGGCGGCCGCTGCTGCTGCAGCCAATCAACAGCAGCAGCAGCAGCAGCAGCAGCAGCAGCAGCAGCCAACTCTGACGTCGGCCCCTGGTGCCGGAGTATCCGGGGTTGTCGTCAGTCAGCAGCAGCAACAGCCATCCGCAGCGGCTGCTGCTGCGGCTGCAAATATTCAGCAGCAGCTCTTTGGTCTCGGCGAATCTGGCCAGCCGGGTGGCGTCCCGGCCGGTCTTATGGGCGATGGTAGCAACTGCCTTGCTAGTCTCCAACTCCCTGGTGGACTTCAGCCGAGCCAGGTAACCGCGACGCCTGTCCAAGGTACAAAAGAGTGGCATCAGTCAATCACCCCCGATCTCAGAAATCACCTTGTACATAAACTGTAAGTATGCGCTTTCTCACGTTTACTTGGTAGCAGTAGTCGTAGTAGTTGTGATTGAACGTTGGAATAATGCTTTTTTTCCAATTCCAGTGTCCAAGCGATTTTCCCCACCCCCGATGCCACAGCTATGTTGGACAAAAGAATGCACAATTTAGTTGCGTACGCCAGAAAAGTTGAAGGTGATATGTACGAAATGGCCAATTCGAGGTCGGAGTACTATCACCTGTTAGCCAAGAAAATCTACAAAATTCAAAAAGAACTTGGTAAGTCCAATTTTATTGTTATGTACACTCTCAGGTTGAAATCCTTTGAAACGTCGTTATCATACCAAACTTATACTTTTTTTATTTACTTCAATCACGTAGAAGAGAAACGTCAGAAACGCAAAGAACAACAAATGCAACAGCAGGCTCAACAACAACAACAACAACAACCTCAGACTCCTGGAGCGCCAGGACCGAGTCTGAGGCCGTGCGTGCCCCAGAATATGAATTCCGTGGCAAGGCCAGTCAGTGCGGTTCAACCAACACTACGTAGTCACTCTCCCGGTATGGGCCAACTTGGTTTGCCCGGTATGCCCGCCATGCAGCCAAACCAACGTATGCAGTTCAACCAGCAAGCCCAGCAGCTACAGGTCCAACAAATTCAGGCTCAGCAGGCACAGAACCAGCAGCAAAATATGATGGTTGGACCGGCGGGCCCGAGTCCCAATGGCCAGACCGTCTCGAATCCTGGCCTAAGTCCCTTTGGCCAGTCTCAAATTTCTTCCCAAACAAACTTGACCACGACAACCGTGACGGCTAGTCAATTCCCAACGTCCAACGGCACGTCGACCGGTCTGTCCAACAGTTCGTCGATTCACAACCAAAATCAGTTCAATGAGATAATAAAAGTCAGGCTAGCGGCGGCGCAAGCTGCTCAGCAACAGCAGCTTCAACAGCAACATCAACAGCAGCAGCAGCAGCAACAGACTCAGCCTACCGGTGTAGGCCAAAATGTCTCTGCGACGATACCACAGGCGCCATCGCCCTTTGGAAGTTTGCAGCAGCAGCAAAACCAACAGTTCCTGGTGTCGCGGCCGCTCTCGTCCACGACGCCCAATGACAACGGTCTTTCGGTGTCGACGCCACAGACAATACTCCCGCCAGCGTCCAGCGGACCCAGTCCGAGTGCCACGTCCCTACCCAACGGTCCCCATTCGGTGACTTCGATGCCAAATACGCCACTCGTTCCCTCTCTGATGACACCGTCGCAGGTGGCCAGCGCAAATCTGACACCGCCCCATTCCAGCACGACTCCGTCCCCTGCTAACCACGGCAAGGGCATGAGCTCACAAGAGCGGGCTGCTCTGAATGCGCCTCGAGGCTCTTCCTCCATGTCGTCACAGATGGCTGCGATAACCGCCGCTCTCGATCGCGACAACTCCCCGACGCTGCTCATGAACAACAACAAGGGCAAGCTCGACACGATCAAAAGCGAAGAGTCCAATGTTAAAATGGAAATCGATCAGGACGGCGAGATCGGTGACGGATCGGGCATTACCAGTAGACCCGACTCCGCGAGCGGCAGCGGCAAAGCCGGTAACGACATGAGCGGCAATCAGAGCAAGACTGAAATCAAACAGGAACCCATGGAAGAGTGTTCCGGTCACATTGGCAATGTTACAATCAAGGTAAATTTATTGTCGACACTTTGAGTGCGCGTCGATAATTTGTTGACAAATGTATGTATAAAAAATTAAAATATGCTTTACAGGAGGAATTGGGAATAAAAGAAGAAAGCATGCCAGGGCAAGATTCAACGAGTAGCGACATGAAGCCATCGGTACCAGAACCAATTACCCCGAGTGGTAGCTCAACCGGCGACAAAAAGCCAATCTGTCTGTTCAAGCCCGACGAGTTGAGGCAAGCGCTCATGCCCACTCTTGAGAAGCTCTATCGTCAAGATCCCGAGTCTCTGCCGTTCAGACAGCCTGTAGATCCCCAAGCACTGGGCATCCCCGACTACTTTGACATTGTCAAGAAGCCCATGGATCTGTCCACGATTAAAAGAAAGTTAGATACGGGGCAGTACAGCGATCCATGGCAGTACGTTGATGACGTGTGGATGATGTTTGAAAACGCGTGGCTTTACAATCGCAAGACTTCCAAGGTTTATAGATACTGTACAAAGGTAAGCAGCTTTTAATTTTGTGTCTTCAAGGTAATTTTTATGCTATAGTGTAACTTTTTTGTAATCATTTACATGTTGTATTTTTGCAGTTATCGGAAGTCTTTGAAAAAGAAATTGATCCTGTGATGCACGCGCTGGGATACTGTTGCGGCAGAAAATATACGTTCAATCCACAAGTTATGTGTTGTTTCGGCAAGCAATTGTGTACGATAGCAAGGGACGCTAAGTACTTCTCGTACCAGAACAGGTCAGTAAAAATATTCATGCCAACATTTTTTTCATTAATATTCGATTTCATACATACAAAATTGTACGTATTTCAACCGATATATCTTTAAGCCCTTGGAGAAAATTTTCTCTTCAAACGTACTTAAATTTTTACGATTCTAAGAATCGTTAATTTTGTGTTTTTTATAGTATTTTGCTTTCTTAATTTAGGTAAAAAATCTGAATAACCTCCTCCAAGTGCAATCGATATGTCCGTATGTAATTATATTATGCATGAATATAAGACAATAGAACCAAGTAAAAGTCTACTTATTTTTGTAGTAATTATTTTTAAAATATATGCACTGATAGCAAACGCTAGTCCTTGGTTCTCAATATGCGCCTTGTAATGAGTTATAGTATAGAAGAGATAGTTAATGAAGTAAACTCTTTTTACTCAACGTTGCTCGAAGTTAAAATGTCGTGTCGGATAATTTAATTGAAACTGATATGAGCTTGGTTTTTTTTTTTATATAAATGCGCGCTTAATAGCTTACACTGCAGATTGTACAAAGCATATTAATTTCGGTGTAATTTTGCTGAACAGAGTTTCATTGCTATACATATGAACGCTTGCAAAGAAAACTTTATTTCGACAAAGTTACAATATGATTAAACGTTTAAATTTTCGTATGTATGTAACAATAATTAAACTTATGATTTTTGATGTATTGTTTCTAACCATGGCACCGTTTGTTCTCTTCTTTTGTGTATGTACCCTCCTTGAAATCAAATAAAAAAATTACACATCCACGGATTGCGCACACAACCGCACACACAAACGAACCCGTGTTTGCCGCTTGCTTCTTCTTGTGTTGCCTACGTATTATCTTGCTTCTGAAAAAAATAAAACCCACGCCACCAACCACCACCATCACCATCGATTGCTCAATCAATTGGTTCCTTGGACACTCGGATGAATTGAATAACTGAAAAAACGAAATATAAAATATGGGGAAATCGGCAAAATTAATTTTATTTTACACGATAACTTAATTACGGACGCATGTAATTGGCTACGTAATAATATTAAAATGTGTTTTTTTTTTTTTCTTTTTTTTTTCTTTTTTTTTCTCTTTTTTTTTAAAACGCACGTTATGTATCCCATTTACAACGATTGTTGAATGTTACTAATTAACAATGATTAAAATACACATCGGGTAACACACGTTTGTGGTGACTGAAACTATTAAATCCGAATGTCCGAAAAACCATGCTCATTTTGGATCGCAATTCGGATGTCTAATGCGAATAGTGTAAAGACGTATGATCTTGTTCCTGATAGATACACCTTCTGTCAAAAATGTTTCAACGACATTCCTGGAGATACCGTGACGTTAGGCGACGATCCGACTCAGCCGCAAACGTAAGTTTTCAATTTTTACTTTTCATTTTATCAAATCTAATAAGAAAAATAATTGGTCTCGAGGGCGTTTAAGTACCTATTAAGACCTAACATCTTCTTCGAATCCATGGTTTGTATTTGAATTTGCCAATTTTTATGATTTCAGTTTCATTAAAAAGGAAGAGTTCCAAGAAATGAAAAACGATTACTTGGAACAAGAACCGTTTGTTGTTTGCACAGATTGTAGCAGAAAGGTGCACATGATCTGCGTACTGCACATAGAACAGATATGGCCGCAAGGGTAAAGCTTTTTTTCTCACCTATGCAGCTTGCTTTCCTAAACAAAACTCCAACTCGTAATACTAACGAAGAATCCTTTGCTTTCCAACAGATTTACCTGTGATAATTGTTTGAAAAAGAAAGGCCAGAAGCGCAAAGACAATAAATACAGCGCGAAGCGCCTACCGGTTACGAAAATGGGCACTTATATTGAGACGCGGGTTAACAACTTCCTAAAAAAGAAAGAAGCAGGTGCGGGTGAGGTGTCAATACGAGTCGTTTCGTCGAGCGACAAGACAGTCGAAGTAAAACCGGGTATGAGGAGTCGTTTCGTAGAGAACGGCGACATGCCCGGGGAATTTCCTTACCGCGCCAAAGCTCTGTTTGCCTTCGAAGAGGTGGACGGTGTCGACATTTGTTTCTTTGGTATGCATGTGCAGGAGTACGGAAGCGAATGCACGCCGCCCAATACGAGGCGCGTTTACATAGCCTACCTCGATTCGGTGCACTTCTTCAGACCAAAGCAGTTTAGGACAGCCGTCTATCATGAGATTCTGCTTGGGTATCTCGATTACGCCAAGCAACTTGGGTAAGTGTTGCTCTCGAAAATCTGTATGATGTACATTTAGAGCGGAAGTCGAATTGCATTTGTTTAAACAATGACTTGTTTTTGCTATTTCAGTTATACCATGGCTCATATATGGGCATGTCCACCGTCGGAAGGTGATGACTATATTTTCTTCTGTCATCCTGGCGATCAGAGAATACCGAAGCCTAAAAGGTTACAAGATTGGTACGCATGCAAGAACGAATAGTATTGGACTTCAAGGTAAGCAGTAGTAGTTTAATTAATATATTGTTACCAGTCCCAGTGTTACCTAAGTGTATATTGTCACGCTTAGGTGTCTAGTGGGACTTAAAGTAATTTGCCCAGTTCAAGTCTAACGTACTTGTTACCTTAAAAAATTCGTATACAGGATTAATGGACTATACTTCTCCATTTGAACGAAGTATTGCGACCAATCGTGTGTCTTAACTGATCAATGGTTTTCTTTACAGGACATTTTGAAACAGGCGACGGAAGATAATTTATCATCAGTAGCGGAATTACCGTATTTCGAAGGTGACTTTTGGCCTAACGTGCTGGAGGATAGTATAAAAGAATTGGATCAAGAAGAGGAAGAAAAGCGGAAACTAGCTGAGGCCGCGGAAGCTGCTGCAGCTGCTGCAAACGTAAGCATTCAAAATAATTTAAATAAAAACTATCATATTTGACAAAAATTAATAATATTGCAGATATTTTCGCTATCAGAGGACTCTGAGACTGGGCCTGACGGCAAAAAGAAGGGTCAGAAAAAAGCAAAAAAGTCGAACAAGTCCAAAGCGAATCAAAGGAAAAATAGCAAAAAGTCTAACAATCCGCAGACGGGAAGCGATCTCAAAACTAAAATCTTCGCAACAATGGAGAAGCACAAAGAAGTATTCTTCGTAATCCGACTACACAGTGTTCAAAGCGCTGCTAGCTTACAGCCTATCAACGATCCGGATCCCCTTTTAAGTTGCGATCTCATGGATGGGCGTGATGCTTTTCTCACAATGGCTAAAGAAAAGCATTTCGAATTCTCATCGCTTAGGCGAGCAAAATTCAGTTCTATGTCTATGTTATACGAGTTACACAATCAGGGCACAGACAAATTCGTATATACTTGTAATAAATGTAAGAATCACATCGAAACGAGGTATCACTGTGCGGTTTGCGATGTAAGTATGATTTTTGTCTGCTACAGCGTATTATTTTTGCTTTGGAAACAAAAATCACATGTTTCAACATTCTTTTTCAGGATTTTGATTTATGTCTAAGTTGTAAAGAAACGGAAGGTCATCCACATCCCATGGAAAAACTTGGTTTGGATTTGGACGATGGATCGTCGCCGGCAGATGCAAAACAAGTAAATGCAATAGTACGTATTTTGTTTTTAATATAACTTTTTTTTTTTTTTTTTTTTTTTTTTTTTTTTNTGCGCACCCGGCCGTGCGCGGCTGGAGTAGCCAATGTCAGCGAGGCACACACCCGCGAGGAAGGGATAGCTATTGATAAGCTATAGGTATAGCCAATGGCTTGTGGGCACATCACAGTGCGAGAAGCTCGAGAGAGGCGCTGGCGTTGGGGCAGAGCCGCCATTTTGCTCAACTCCGATCCTATAAATTTGAAGATACGGGCTCTGCTCCCGCAGTCGTCGGATAAATACCCATTCAGCAACACGAGTGTGCGGTATGCGTGTCATCAGTCTCTTCGACCGCTTCTATCTGATCAGTTCCACATTATCACATCGCTGACACACAATGTCGTCCTCTGCAGACCGAAAACGACGGCACCAGTTAGCGTCGTCCCGCGTCACGTAGACCGGAGTTGGCTCAGGCGCGTTCGCCGATAGTTGCTTGGACGAAGGGCTGAGAAGAACCTGGAGTAAAAAATCGGTCAGTTCAGGGTGCTCTGGTGTGATCGGTATCGTCCGCACAGCGGGGGAGGAGGCTCTGCCCCGAGGACGGCTCCCTTGTCATCCCAGGCTCGATGGACAGGTTACTGTTTCAACATCAAACAAAAACTGAAGCAACAACAACAACACCACCGTCTGCAGCAGGCTCAATTGATAAAGTAATTTTCGTTTATTATACATTACTAGATATTCTTGGGAAAATAAACGCTATGGGTATCAATTTGAAGAAAGAAAATAATTCAAGCGATTTCAAGTTTAACATACCGATTCAAAATATTTCTTGGTTGCATACCAGTACTTATCATTGAATGCCAGCAAAACCGAGAATTTCATTAGCACTAACAGTCTAAAAATATCTTCAAGGTTGAGATGCGCGCGCGACGTTTTAATGTTTATTAATCCTTGAGTTCTTTGATGCCTAATAACTTTTATCTTCTTTACTAATATAATGCTTCCATTTACGTGTTTGTCGTTTAATATACTTGATTGTGAAAATCTTTTTCACTTTAAGCGTCATACTAATGTAACTCCAAAGGAGTGAATTGTATTTAATGGCCACATTTTAAAAATTTCTAGGCGACGTATGGCTGTGATGACAAATACTCGCTCAGCAGGCTCCGAATTGAGCATGCAAACAGGCTCGACACCAGTGAACATGACGATGCCCTCGGGCGTAACGATGAAGCCAGGCATAAGTCCAACGTCACTGCCGTCGCCACACCATCAGCCTGGTATCGGCATGAAACCCGGTACGCAGACGCCTCCTGCTCACGTTCTCCAGGTGGTTAAGCAAGTGCAGGAAGAAGCAGCAAGACAGCAAGCACCACATGTCGTCGGTTACGGCAAGGTGACGCCAGGCGGAGTCGGCGTTGGTGGTCTCGGGGTTAATATAGGCGCGGTTGCCGGAAAACCAGGTGGCGTCATGCCTCCGCCTCAGATGCAAAGGCCAATGCCCGTTCAGATGGCCAATCCCGGTGGCGCACATCTTTTACCCATGGATCAGTGGCCAAAGTAAGTATTGGCTGGTAATAATCTTGTTTCGTGAAATTTTTTTTTTTTTTTAATGAATATTACTAATCTTGAATTGAATTTTTTTACTTGTAGCAATAGTACACTGAACTTTAGGTATCAACCAAATGCAGTGATGCAACAAAATGCTAGCCTACGGCAGCAAGCCCCGCAGCTTCTCCCTCCACAGCAGCAACAGCAGCAGCAGCAGCAACAACAACCGCAGCCTCAACAACAAATTCAGCCAGGAATGGCTGGCATTGGAGGTCAAATGGCTCGGCAACCCGGTATGTTAGGTTCTGCGGGACAAGTGGGCCAGAATGTTGCGGGAAAACAAGCTCTGCAGCAGTTGATGCAAACACTCAAAAGCCCCAACACGCCCGAGCAGCAGAACCAAATATTGCACATACTCAAAAGTAACCCACCTCTTATGGCTGCATTCATCAAACAACGCCAAGTAAGTAATACTTTACCGCAGTATTAGACATTTTTAAATATTTTTTATTTCTACTAAGTGATTCTAACAGCAGCTTTAACACGATGCTTAATCCATAATAATGTGTCAAAACCCCATACTATTTATGAAAAGCAGGCCCTCGCTTTGCAGCAGCAACAGCAGCAGCAGCAACAACAACAACAACAACAACAACAACAACAACAACAACAACAGCAGCAGCAACAACAACAAACCGGGCAACACGTTGTCAATACTGGTCCTTTAGGTCCTAACCAAGCTCAGCAGCAGCAACAACAGCAGCCCGGCTTGCAACACATAATTCAGCAGCAGCAGCAGCAGCAACAACAGCAACAGCAGCAAAATCATCAAAACCGAATGCAGCTTCAAGCGATGTTGAGTCAGCAACAACAGCAGCAGCAAATAAATTTGCAACACAATCCTCAGTGGCTAAAACAGCAACAGTTACTCATGATACAGAGGCAACAGCAGCAGAACGCTGCCCAGCAACAGGCAGCAGCCGCGGCGGCGGCATCTGTCGTGGGCTCGCAGCCCTTCACTCAGCCATCCGCACCTCCCTACGGCCAGCAGAGACCCATCAGGCCTCCAATGCTAGGTAAGTTTGTCGAAACTTTTTTTTTTAATTTCAACATAATAATGTAACGAAACAATCGAATGAGATGATGAAAATAATAATGCGATTTCATTGTCACAGGTTACGGTGGATTCAACGAACAGGGCTACGTACAGCCGGGACTTAAACTGACGCCACCGCCGGTCCCGTCTCCCCAGGGCGTAATGGGGCCTCCGGGAATCTCTTCGGTGCAGCAGCAGCTGATGCAATCGGTACGTTCGCCACCTCCTATACGATCGCCCCAACCGAACCCGTCGCCCCGTCCGGTACCGTCTCCGCGAAATCAGCCCGTTCCCTCGCCCCGCGCTGGCCCCGTACCTTCGCCTCACCATCATCCAGGTCACGCGGGCGGCACGCCCACACATTCGCCGGCACACGAGCTCGGTGGCCCCAGTGAGATGATGCTCTCGCAGTTGAGCCAAGCGACGGCCGGTGGTCAGCCTGGACCGCATCCGGGTGTCCAGTTGCCCCTTCATCAGTCGCCTGCGGCGGCGAACGCTGCTGTTGGTTGCCAAGACGGCAACGACATTACCCCCATGACGCCGCAGGATCAGCTATCTAAATTCGTCGAGGGTTTGTAGTGACTTTTACTAGTGAAATCTTGATATGGTGCTTATAGAGACTCAAGCCAGCTGGCCAGATAGCCACTGCTAATTAGTGATTATTAATAATTAAAATAAGTATAGAAATTATGCGTAACGCGCGCCCTTCCCCGTGGCTCTATAGGAGGGCGCACTCACAAACCTATATAGAGACATGAGACAATGTTGTATATAGTTTATACATATTGTAAATAAGCATATATTTTAAATTAAGGTATAGTTTAAACAAATCGCGTGAAGCACTGCGTATAGTAGATAAAAAAAAAGAAAAGAAAAAATACGAGCCGTGAGAGAGACGAGCGGCAAGAGAAGGAAAGGAAGCGCAACGACGCTTATCGACTTTTTTTAAATTGTATTACTATAGAAGATATTATTTTTATGATTATTATTATTATTATGTGTATCGACGACCGAAAGAGATATCCTTCGATCGCGTCCTTTTCTTCTATGCTTGTGAAGGTTGTTATTGGTTTAAGGAGAAGATGTATAACAATAGAAGAGACAGGGGAGGATGGACTTTGGTAAAAAATTAACAACAGGAGGCAAACAGATTGTGAGGAAGAAAAGAAAAAAAAAAAAATAATTAAAATTGATATTACGCTTGTATATCAAAAATCTGATCAGTTCCACATTATCACATCGCTGACACACAATGTCGTCCTCTGCAGACCGAAAACGACGGCACCAGTTAGCGTCGTCCCGCGTCACGTAGACCGGAGTTGGCTCAGGCGCGTTCGCCGATAGTTGCTTGGACGAAGGGCTGAGAAGAACCTGGAGTAAAAAATCGGTCAGTTCAGGGTGCTCTGGTGTGATCGGTATCGTCCGCACANAAAATTCTCGGTTATCCCGCTTTCACAGAGTAGTCGTTCTTATTTTTGTAACATCATTGAAGAGAAGAAAAAAAAAAGTATTACATTAGGTTGCGTTGGCCAAAGTGATACCCAATTATAGGCTGAGGTACACCTATACAATATACGTACAGGTATACGTCAGCATATATTCAGTTGTCGCTTTTGGCCATTCATTTACAATTATTATTATTATTATTTAATTAATTTTACTTCCCTACCTAAGGCATTTTTGAGAGGCTGGTGTGCCCTCAGTAGGAAAAATTGGACTCGGCGCATATGCGCCATCGGTCCGCAGCTACCTCGGGCCGTCCCACTTATCCAACGACAACTACCATTTCCCCCCTCTGGCGCAGTGTTGTGCGCCTTACGGCACACTTTCCGCCCGCCAATTACTTTCCGCCCACGGGCGGGAAGAAACATTCTGGCCCTGCCAGGCCCAATGGTAGTTGTCGTCAGATTTTTGCGGACGTAAGGTAGCTGCGGGGCGATGGGACTTATGGGGCGAATCCTGTTGGGTCTACTGGGGGCACCTCAAAAATGCCCGAGGGGGGAAAAGTTCGTTCCCGCTCTAGGGTGGAAAGTAGATGGCGGGTGGAAAGTGTGCCCTATGGCGTTATTACGCCCTAGGGCACACTTTCCACCCATTACTTTCCACCCTAGAGCAGGAACGAACTTTGGGCCTGGCAGGGTCAGAATGTTTCTTCCCGTACTTTGTCGGGAAGTAATTGGCGGGCGGGGAGTGTGCCATGAGGGCATAGCAGTAAGCCCGAGGGACGAAAATGTTCTCACCTTGGGCAGAAACTACAACTTGTGTTTCTGCCCTAGGTGAGAACATTTTCGAAACGCGAAAGGAACCTTCGTCTGATGCTATTTTGAAGTCGCGATCTTTACAATTATCTCATCGTTACTATGTGAATGAATCACATACAGGGGCATCAAGAGAGCAGCGACTTATATGCACTTTCACTTACTTGTAGATTTGTGAGGTTTTTCGTTTGTGTGGACACTGCAGCACAGCTCTCATCTTCCAGTCCCCGTGTACGGCCCCGTAATGTACGGACCCTCTCTTTGTTAACATTCACTCGAGAGTTATCCCTTGATCACCTCCGTTCCTTCGATCTCACTAAGTGTCGGCATCTCCCGTATCCACCCTCACTCACCTCACTCTTTGTCTCTTTCTCTTCTTCTNCAAGGCAATTCTATAATTTTATAATACTAAAATAACTTTTAAGGATTTTAACATAGTAGGTATGTGGATTTTAAAACTCCTAAGAAATTATGAACATCCTATTTACGACAAAAAAAAGCCGAAGGCAGAAGAAAACTCATACTTTTACGACGATTATATCAAATATGATTATTACCAGTAAAGTAAAACTTACATCCAATTATACGTGAATATTTAACTACGTACATATATTATATTTTTGAGCTCATATTTACATTCCTTATCAATACCTTGTGGTTATTGCATTGACAAAATTCGTACTACATATATGTACAAACATGAAAGTAGATTCTTTAGTCTTTATGAATAGTGCGTATTTTCGATTAAAGAGTCTTACAGAGACTGAACAAAGCTTTTTTTATTCAACACATATTAGTTTCAACCACTTGTAACTCAGAGTATGGATTTTTTAAAAAAGTTGTATTTTGCATAAACAATTAATCTCTTTACCTACAATCTCAATATTCTTAGTGGTCATCTCAACGGCATACCTACAGATAATGTATTCTCTAGGCCCACTTTTCTGACTAACGATGAACGGTTGGTTATCCGAGGAACCACCTGAAGACGAGATTTTCTTAGGTCAGCGTCGTACCTCCCTTCTGTACGGTCTCCATACAGAGAGACTCAAAGGATAAGAGTCAAGCTACCCGCAGCTGGCTCTCCATCATCAAGAATAATAGTAAGGAATAGCTGTAAGTTTCACCACTGGCCCTTTTCAGGGCCATTATAAGTATTTATGTTCCCTACTTTACCATCAATCTCATCGGTTTTTTTAAGGGCCACGTAAGTTTGAATTACCTTGCCAAATAATACATTTTTATTACGACTTCTGGAGACAATTCGTCAACTTAAAAACTATGTAAAACCAGGCACCATTAAACCAAGTCAGTTATTCACTGGCAGACGTCACTAGCAGAGTTTTTCGTCGCAAGGCTTGGAACCCCGGTGACCGACGACCCTATATTGACCTCTTGACTTTAAGCATTTAACCAGGAATCACTGATCTTTTCCAAGGTTTGCGCTGGGAGAACCTAACAGCTTTAAAGAAAAAATAATAAATGTGAGCCAACGGGACAGTTTCCAATGAGCAAGCATCATGAACCAATCTTTCCACCTTAGATTACTAAAAAAACTGAGTCTGCAAAAAAAAGTAGGTGATGCTTTAGACACCAATTAACGTCTTCGACGTTACATCAGAAGACGTTGGGAAAGAACCTACAACTAGCTCCAAAGTTTCAAACGTTGTAGTTTTCTTCTCTATCAGTGTGGTGCTGCAATAACAGGCCAGAGAAGATCACCTTGAGGTATAGAGGCAATCACGTTTGCTGGAAACGTCAGTCAAGAAAGAGTTTACTTAAGAAGCTCACTGGTCCTTTTCAGGGTCATTGGAAGTCGAACTACCTTGCCAACAAACATATTACAACCTTATAAAGTTAAAAAAAATAGCCTTTAGGACTCACAAGAGTCTCAACTATGCCAAAAGTCACAAGAAGTTGATTTGGAAGGAAAACTTCAAATGCATCTTATAAATACAATTTTAGGCGTCAAGAAAATGATGGAAGAATTTATTAAGTGAGAGATCAGCTTTTCGCTATAACTCTCATAGTAATCTCTTGAATCTTTCAGATTTATAAATAGGTAGAATATGTATTTATATTTTTGTTGCGATAAAAAATGTAGAGATTAAGCTCCAGGTTTAAAGTTGTGAGATAAGAAAAAAAAATGTTTTAATTACATATTTTTTGTGAGCTTTAAATCTTTATAGCTTTAACAAATAGCCCTGTTCATAGATTATGCGGAAAAACTGCAAATCAACGGCCTTTTAAGGCCAACGATTATCTTATGGCATAAGAAATGCACGGTACTTGACCAAATGAAATGTATGGATTCTGAACAAATATGTTTTTAATAAGAATATTTTCGTTCTGTGAAGTGTCAGAAATACTAAGATGTAAAATTTTTAACTGAAAATGTTTCACATTATATGTCAACACACTGCGGCGTTACATTTAGTGAGTCTCAGGTGAAGCCGAAACGGGGGGCTGTTAGTGTATGATAATGTAAATTATTTTATAACCAACAATTTTTTTGAGTCGGAATAAATAAATAACTCTTTTACTGTAAGTAGCAACTTGTAAATTACATTGAATTTTTATAATTTTTTATAAGAATGCTTTATTCAAATTTTATTAACAATGTTGTGATCAGACCAGTGTGGAAAAGTGTAGTTTTATTCCCTTGATGTATAACTATAACAATGGTGTTGGTTATTATTATTACAACAGTAAAAAAAAATTCGAAATAAATAATACAAAAATTTTTTTTAAGTTATAGAACAAATTGACTAATCTAATATATTTACAGATTCTTATGAATATAATTTTAGAAACTCACGGCAAACACATTGCACTTAATCTAAGTAATACAATATTTTAAACAGTTAAATGTTGCATTACTAAACTAATTATTTTCATAGCTAATGAAATTTTAGATTGTAACTTTTTTACTTTCTATTTTTTCATAATTTTTTTCCATCTCTTCATTAAATAATCACCGTAAATTGGAAAACACTGCTTGATAAAATTACTTGATTTTTCTACTACCTTTCGGTGCATTCACACACGCGGCAGTATGTCTCAGTGATTCAGCCTCATTTGGCATACCATGTCCTTATTTTATTAATCATAGTAACCTTTTGTTTGAATAATTGACTACATATCCTTGATCGAGCAAATATTGTATGAGCTTCCATAATTTGGAATTCTCAAAAACATCGTGAAATATACTCATGCAACATTTGTTTTTGTGATTCATATCTGCTCCACGTGCAATGAGTAGTCTTATGCATTTTATCTGATTTTCAGCCGTGGGCTCGAATAACTTTGGTTTGTCAGACGACTGAAGGGATAGGAAATTTTTTTGATTAAAGTTTTGATGCATAAAAATGTTGAATGACAATTTTTATTGAAATAAAAAATTACCTTTTTACTCAACTTATTTTTCACAAAATGTAGTTTCATCGATCTCGTCACATATTGTAACAGACTAGCATTGAAACTGTCCAGCTGATTAATTGACAAAGCTCCTATACGTTTTAGTAACAATTTTAATAACTTCGGCGACGAGATATAAGCTGCATAATGCAAGCTGGTCATACCTTTCTTGTCCGCAATCTTGACTTTTGATCCATACTTCAATAAGATCTTAGGTATTCTAAGGTCATCTTTCTTTTTGAATTCAGATTTACCATCTATAACTGACGTAAGGTACATATACGATAATCGTACTGTTTAACGTTAATATGTACTAAAAATATGTTAGATCTTAATTTGTCTTACCTAAACAAATTTGGATCAGACTCGTCATCAAAGGGGTGTGCCCGTCCTTATCTGCTGCAGCGTTGACGTCGTAACCAGCTTTGATAAGTGATTTAAGTACTTTGTAGTTTCCACATTCAACTTCGACATGTAATGCT